ACAGGCTTCTACTGCGAGGACAATGGCAGCACCAGAGGTACGTGGTTTGAAGTGAAAGCTCGCTATTAACAGTGACACTAAATATGCCATTCACAACACTGCCCCTAACTACCTCACCGACCTGATTCCCAGATACCACCCTACCCGTACCCTTCGCTCTTCACAGGACCTCCTTCTATCTTGCTCCCTGGTCTCCTCCTCCCACGCACGACTGCAAGACTTCTCCAGGTCCTCCCCCATCCTCTGGAACTCACTACCCCAAACCCATCAGACTGTCACCTTCCCTCCTCACCTTCAGGCGCTCCCTGAAAACCCACCTCTTCAGGGAAGCCTACCCCACCCTCACCTAACAGCCGCTGCCCTTCCCTCCTCCTTCCACTCCATCCCCCACAGCCATTTCCTCCTGTACCTCTACCCCCTCCCTCCTAGATTGTAAGCTCGAAAGAGTAGGGCCCTCTTACCCCTTGTGTGCTGTTTGATGTTACTGTACTGTTTCATGTATTGTCCCCCCTCTATTGTACAGCGCTGAGCAAACCCTTTGGCGCTATATAAACTCGATAAATAAATAAATAAATATTCTTATCCTCCAAAAATAATCCACACACACATTCACTACCTACTGGCCCTGTAGTCGATTTTCATGGAGACCGTTTCTCACTGTGTTTTTCTACTTCTTTGTAACATCCTCCATGAGCTACTGAACCTTTCCTTTTCCCCCCTCTGTTCCATTTGTTTAGAACAAGCACTGCACCTCTAAGTTGCGGTCATGTGCACTGTTCTATGCACACTACAAATCCCATAGTTCATAATCCCCAATATATTTTGGGAACAAGCAAGAGGGGGTGCTCCATTTCTACATAGAGAAAAGACCAAGGAGAAAGAACAGGAAGTCCAATTACAGCAGCAACCCCCCTCACCACCCTTTAAAAAAAAAAAAAACTAAATTTGACAATTTGGAGGAGGTATTTTTTTTGTATTTCAATGGTTTTTATTAAATTTGTAACATTTCAACAAGACTTGAGCAACAAGACACACCCACGCAGGGGCTATCAATGGCACATAAAAAGAAAAGCATGCTCCAACAAAAGAGCAAAAGCTGCGCCCACGCAGGGGCTATCAATGGCATAAATTACAAAAACAGTGATAGAACACTGACAGTAGCTCAAACCAAAAGGCAGCTATCCACCACCTCACAAAAGGCAAGCAAAAATAGGAAAAGAAAAAGGAGTAGAAAAGGAAGACGACAAGACCAGGAGCTGGAGTCTAGGAACACCGAACATCACAAACCCAGACCAGCCGGGGGGAGCGTGGGAAAAGCATGCGTCAACCACGGCTCCCATATTTTCAAACAATTCCGTTGGGAGTCGTTACAGATACTCGACATCTGTTCATGGAGCATCAGAGTGGTCATACGGTCCCTCACCCCCTGAAGAGGGACAGACGGGCCCTTCCATGCCTGAGCAATTGTTCTAGTTGCTGAACAGAAAGAACAACTTCTGCTGGTGAGCCAACAGGCCCGGATGGGATAATAAAGCAAAGCGTACTGAGCATCCCGGCGTATGGAGAGATGGAACAAGGTGAAAAGGAGGCCAAATACACAGACCAAAAATGAATCAGTTTTGGGCATGACCACCATATATGCAACACATCTCCACAATGACCACAACCCCGAAAACAACGATCACTGCAGGCAGGGTTCATCTGGGCCAAAAGAGCCAGGACCCAGTACCAACGAAACAATACTTTGTATGCCACCTCTTCCCCCTGGTTGTATTAAATGAACATTTAGCTATAAACGACCAGGCCCTATTCCAGTCCTCTAGATCCACGACCGCCCCCAGGTCGCGCTCCCCCACTGAGCGACATATGAAAGAAGTATGCGTCGAGCATCTATTCAAAGATGTATAAAGGAGGGAAATAAGGCCCGGGGTGTCCAGACGCTGTTGGCAAAGCTGTTCAAAGGCAGATTTCTGATACGGGAAAGCAGAAGTGCCCCGCCATGAGAGCAGCCAATGCCTACAATTGAAGGTAAAGAAAAAATTCTGCCTGAGGGACATCCCGTGACTCCCGAAGAGAATTCCAGGTGGGGAAAGACAGAGAAGTCAAAAAGTGTGACACTTGCGAAAAACCATTGGCCACCCACCAAGAGAGCGCCCCTGGTTGATCTAAATCCGGCAGAAAGAGAGGATTGTTAATTTGGAGCAAGGGCAGGAAAGGTGACATCAAGCCACTGGAGTAGCGTACCAAGTCCCAAACTTGTAGACCATGGAGCAAAATCGGACTCGTTTGTCATAGGTTTTTTTTTTTTGAACCATGCTTTGGTGTCAGCTGGAAGTGGAAGAATGCTCTCAGAAAGGAGGGAGGGCCTTATGCCATTTGTTGTAAAACAAATTTGTATAAATGAAGATTGCCATTGTGTTCTCAAGAAGAAAGTAGACTCCATCTTCCAGGTTTGTGGATTATAGGTAACCAAAAATGAGGGATGGGCAGGAGACAAACATGCTATTTAGTAGCGGTGTTTTCTACCACTGCTATATAGGACAGCTTCCTTCATCTGCTGTCAATAGTTCAGGAATCAGTGGGTGCCAGCTGTCTTTTACCAGTCATGTACTCTGCCCCACCCATTTGCTAGCTGTGAATTCTTAGCATTTTGACAAAGGGGTAGGGATAGTGGCTGACATCTGGCATTTCTGGACATCAATGGGGATACTTCACCTGTTTACATTTAGTAGCAGGAACCGCTGTGAGTGCAGCAACGGGATCAGTTGTGTCTGTTGGCCAGGGGGGTTTTTTTCTTTTAGCAAGTCAGCAGGCAATATTCAGCCTGATTGGCAAGGATCTGCATTGTTAATGTGACGGACAATGATTTACATCATGGATTTGTTCCGGCTTCTGCACACTACCACATTCACTGGGCCAAGGTTGTGAGAAAGAGGCCCTCGTCCTAATCAAAGATAGGGGTCTGGTACAGATGTAGGGAATAACCCGTCACTTTGTTTACAAGCAGAAGCAAGCGGCCGGAAACTGTCATTCCCAGCTTTTTAAACTGTAGTTCTCTTCTTTGTGTCAGTTTTGCTGTAGTAGGTTGTATACATCGTACAGATACGCTGCTTCACTTGTGGGTCATCCCAGGGCATGTATTTAGAGGAATTTGTCATTTTTAAAGGTTGCCCTATAAGAATTATTAAACATCACAAATCCACCCCATTTTTTTTTTTGCTTTGATACAAGTTCCCCAGGGTAGTGTCCAGACCCCTGTACCATTTGTTTGACAATCCCTTGCCTTTTAGTCTAGAAAATGGTCTTTACTGTTTAACAGTTGGCTCCCATTAACTTCAATGGGGTCAGATTCAGCACCCGGACTTCAGTAATGTTTGCTGAACCCCAGGTATGTTCAGCTCTTCGCTACAAAGAAAAATATTGATATCATGCAAAACGCAGGAATGTAAGGTGAACACTGGAATATGAAGGCAAATACAAGGTTGCTCATATACTCAGACATTTGCAATAGTGACACATAAGAGCATCGTTCTGCAATGCTCCGGTAGAACTGGGCCACACATGGTCATCCCCAGTGATTAGAAGCACTGTAAGTCATTGAAAGCACTTTTTAACCAACAGAATTTTACCACCCTGTTCCAAAATCTCACTGTGAATGGGCGGTGATAGTTTTTCTAAAAGAAAAAAAAAGGGGGGGAAAGACTAATTTAAATGCAGCACATTTACTTTGTCAGCTAGAAAGGAACCTAAACTACTGCAGTCTTCTTTCTATGGTAGCCAACAAGGAGATGTCCCGGTGCCTCCCTTTCCTGCTGAGACATTCGCCAATTCTGTTCCGGCTGCAGTGAGCTTGCGGTAGGAGGCGGTGTAGCGCACGATTCGGTGCATCACACAACTCCCGTTTTTTAAACTTTATTTGAAGCGCACAAAAGTGACACTTCATTCAAGTCAGTGTACAACAGTGTGATCTGCTGCTGTGCTGAACAAAATGCCGCATGTCTGCACTTTATCGCAGACCACTGTAGCACAGTTCTAGGCTGCATTGCAGTGTAAATATGGACACAGAAAAGAATTGTTTTCTGTGTGTCCTATCGGTGAATGGCATTCTTTTAGTGCAGAAAAATGTCGGTCACCAAAGTAGCGTGAATTGGCCCTTAGAACCATGCTAAAGCATTCAGATAAAGGTTTATTAATCAATCTAGATTTCCATTCTCATCTCTGGTCATGAGCTATGGAGGGCAGCTGTAAAGAAAACACAAACATCAGAAGTATCATTCAAGTGTACTGCTCCCCTTTTCTATCTGAGAATGCAATAAAAGGTGATTTAGGCATCTTGAGTGTCGACGACAGAGACCAAACTAGATACAATCCAGGCAAGACGGACTGGGAGAAGCATTGCTAGGCACCGCCAATTGCCAATTCCCTTTCCAATAAGGGTGCCCTTTTGGGCCACTAAAGCTGTATCTTTGGACCGTGAAATGGCAGTCGGTACGGTCACTTGGTCAGGGAAAGGCAGGCCCACACATTCACCTTGTGTCTTGGTTACACGATTTAACATTCTGTGGGTTTGCAGATATATCTACTTTATATCTCAGCTAAACCAAAATGCACATTGTCACTAGCAATAAGAAATATTCCATTACATTAACTTGAACGATGAAAGTGCCAAAACAGAAATTAAAAATATGGTCAAGATGAAAAACTGTGTGCATAAACATCCCAGATAAACCATGCAAGAAGCCAGCTATAAAACCATAATATGATTACATGGAGTGTGAGAACAACAAGAACCTTCGCTGGAATTTCAACTTTACTCTGCTCTCAGTGTCGAAAGTTACAATAAATATTTTGGAAGTGAATATCCTTGGAAACAAGGACATACAATCTGGTTGAACAATGCAAGAGGAATGTAGAATGTGGAATGTAAATACAGTAACTACATCAGAGACATGGTAGTGAAATAAAAACCTAAACCCTTGTAGGCTTTGGAATGCACTCACCTTCTGCAACTCCCCATGGATATTGTCTTCCTCTTACTCTTTTGCCATTCACTTCTATGATAGTATTGCTACCCACAACAGCAAGAGGTAAACGGTCCTAAAAGACAGGAAATGAAGCATGAAACTGTTGCAGATATCCGAATTTTGGCTGCACATTAAAATGCTAAAAATAAGTGGTCACAAATATACAGGTCAAAGAGACTAATTAATAGGGAGAGGATTTACCAACCATTCAGGTCCCAAGTGCAAAAGCATGTGACAACTTTTATGCCACCTCCCCCCTCCCATCCACGCACTTTGCTCAGTGGTTCGCGTGTCTCCCACACATTGCCATATCTTGGTATTTTGCAGGCCCCATCATCACCTTGAAAGGTAGAGTCACTGCCAGCAATTATGTACAAATTTTGGCCGACCATGTGCAGACATTTTTCCCCGAAGATAGTGCCATAAACGAAGATGATAATGATCCGATTCATACAGCTGGTGTTGTCAAATTGTGGTTTGATGAGCATGCATATGACGTTTCGCACCCTCCCTGAGCGCCGCAGTCGCTGGACCTCAATATCATAGAGCCACTATGTTCAACTTTGGAGAACAAGGTTTGGGCTCATTCTCCACCTCTGGCATCACTGCGAGAACTGGAATGAAAACTGCATGAAGAGTGGTATCAGATTCCAATATCCACCATCATGTGCTTATATTTGTTAATTCCCATGGGAATTCAGGCCGCCCTGTATGCCAAAGGCGGTCCAACACTATACTGATGTCATCTGCTCCAAAAGGCGCATCAGAGATGGTAACATGGAACACAACCTTGTAAGCAGGAGCGGAAAACGGAATGTCCCTGATGAGTTAGTTAAAATGGTGATTTTTGGAAAATAGAGAATTTAGATCCCAGTGTCACAAGGGAGTGACCATGAAAAGCAACACAGGAGACACCCTGTACAAAGGTCTAATGGTACAAGGTCAAAAAAAATGAAGACTTGACTCTTGATAGTGCTGCAGGCCAAATGCCGCTTCAGACTCATCAATGTAAAGGCTGAGATTTGTCCCACAAAGTATTTATTTTCTCGGGGGAAAGCTTCTCGTTCTTGCACAAAGTGAAGTGTGCCTTTCATGCGCAGTGACAGACCATGCACAAAATAGACTTCCTAGTCTTCAGCATGATAATAACCAATTCAGATATAGGTTTGTCCCTCAGAACCTGGACTTCGACAGCCATAGTGTTAAAGCCAGCAATGCAAGATGAAAGATATTAATTGGCCCTTGAGACAGAAGAGATGGACAATCTGAAAGAGCCCACAGAGCAGCTGCCAGGAGTCCTTATCAGGTAGGTGTACCACATCCACCTGGACCAGTACAGAATTACGGGGATCAACGGAATGCTATTCATCTTGATCCTGCTAAGCAGATGAGGAAAAAGTATCAGCGGAGGACCATCCTGTGTCGGTTTTGTTTTTAAAGGATGATAGGTTTTGTCTATTTCTTGGGATGATTTCCCATTTACCCGAGCGTATGTGCTCTTAGGGCCCAAACACAGGGAGGGCTCCGCAAAGAGTTAGCTTGCTCAGCGGGGTATCTATCTGTTGATTCCCGCTGAGCAGACAGATGGCTAGTCTGTGTACTCTCTGTTTATGCAGAGCGGACACAGAGATCGCCTGCTCTCCTCTATGGGCAGTCGGATGTAAACTGATCACCTGTCTGTTTACACCCAACTGCCATCCGATCTACTAGACGGAAGGGGACCGAATCCCCATTCTTCTGTTTTTAGTGTAATAGATTGGATTGGATGTAGGCGGTGTAAACAGACATGTCCATTTACACCCACCACTATATAGAGGACAATTGAGGGTCTCATCGGTTTCGCCTAAAAAAACTGACAGGTGGACCTGGACCCAATCGGTCTCCCTGTGTGAAAGGGGCCTTACAGTCTACATTCAAATTGGTGGTCTAATGAATAAAGGCAAATTAAAACAAAAAATTAAAAAAGCTGCACAACACCTCAGTGTCTCATTGTTATTACCCCTACCTGGCTATTGTGAGTGCCCCAATAGTGAATTAAATGAGTAAAATAATACTATAAAATCAACAAAAATACTAACAATCAATTTCACTGTTGCATTCATCAAATAACGATACATGCACCCATTTCCATTGATAAGTGACAGTAACACTTCTTATCCTTAAAAGTGACAAAAATATAAAAATCATCACATAAAACACGTCCATCACCCAAGTGCCTTCAATTGTGACTTCTGAATCCCTCAACCATTCATCATGTGATCTCACCTGAACCCGTGGATCTAATAGTGCAAGCATAACGTCAAATGTGTCTTCCCCTTTAAGGGGTCTATTCTCAGGGCTTCACCACTCTCTCTCCTGGGGATCTCTCGATTGGCTCCTGTATGAATCACCATCAATATGCAGACACCACTTCTTTGGGGGGGGGGGGGGGGGTGGTGTGTGTTAGTGTTACATCTTTTTCTGTAAATATTGTTATTGCACCCTTTTTAGTAATAAATCCTATTATCTGAAAAGTGTTGAACTGTTTCTAAAGCGCTTTAATGCAAACTAAGAAACCGCTACTGTGTTTTTGAAAACCTCTATATACCTCTGCCTGCGGTGACAGTGATATACAGACGATTATTCAAACATCATAGTGTTATTGCTAATATTGCCGAGTTTCCTCTTTCTCTGTACAAAAAGGAGGTGGCAGTGTGGAGGTTATAAACCACAATTAGCCTGGCCCCCGTATCAATCGCTCTCAGGCTGCAGGTACACAGATTGTGGTCCATTAGCTGGAAAACCTTTGTGCAGGGTGCAGCTGAGCGTGGTATTGTTACGCACGTGACAGCATGGTTTTAGATTGGCTAGTCTTTCGGTCATGAGTTGGTGAGAAGGGCTGGGGGTCTGACGCCATGACCGTCACAGACATGTTTATGTGATTTATATTATTTTTGTCACTTTAAGGATTGTAAATGTTATCGTCAATCATCAATGTAAATGGGTGCACGTATCATTATTTGATGAATGCAAGTTAGATTGAGTGTTTTGAGTATTTTTTGTTGATTTATTGTAGTATGAATTTACTCATTTAATTTACTATTGGAGCACTCCCGATAGCCAAGTAGGGGTAAGAACTGAGACGCAGCGTGCTGCACAGCACTTTTTTTTTTTTTATTCATATTGATGTGGGAAACATATTATAGCGTGAGCAGCAACAACAAAGGTAATTTCTTCACTAGCAGGTATGCGCACAAAATAATTCCACTTTAAGTCTCAATCAAGATAAAATATTGGTGATTTTTTGGCTTACTTAAAAAAAATTGCGGCTTACAATAATTGAGCTCCATTTTTTTTTAATTATCTGCAATTGTCCAGTATTGGGGTTTAAAATCCTTGTCTGGCAGGTGAATGTTTTATGATATCTTTCTTTATATTGGTTTGGCTGTCTAATACTTTCTTCGTCTCCCAAAGGCCAGGCAAGGTCCTCCCATATCAGGGTCAGGAGGCTGGTTTTGACATTTATTTAAAATGGATGAATTTTAACAGATGTTACATTTTTGTATAGATAACATTTTTTGTCTTTTTTCAGATTGGCCGAGTTGTCCTAGGATCGAAAATATGTCCAGGTGAACCCCTGAAACCGTTCTACTACAGGGAACAAGCAATGACATCCTACCCCAGAAGACCAGCTTGGGCTGCATGGAAATATAACTGTGCTGGGACACAGGCAGGTTGTAATGAACAAGAGATGTGGCTGGGAGCACCTTATGGCACCTGGACAATCTCCTGCACCCAAGCATCTGATATGTAGGCTGTTCAAGTGTAAACAAAGGCAAATTGACACCCCCCCCCCCCAATGTGGACAGAGCGATACACCTCACGATGAAGATAAATTACTTGAGGGTCTTTAAAGTCCAAGGTTTGTGGACTGACTGGGTGCCAGACTTTGGTCTGAAAGTAGAGATTGAGGTCAGGGAGTGAAAAAAAAAAAAAAAAAAAAGCCCAGACTGAGCTTTTTCTTTGTTGTGGTAGATGAGTATCCTTACACTTGGTGACATTCTTGATGAGGGTATCCTTGAAGAGGTGTTGTCCTTCGAAAGTCATGCACAGCAATCACTTTTTATATCCAAGCTCTTAACACTTTAAGGCAGAGTCCTTCTCACGCTCCTGACAGCAGACTCATATGAGATCTGAGGAAGAGGACCTCCATGTCATAGCTTAAGGCTGCATGCAAAAGATCAAAGTCCTCTATAACCAAAGGAACAACTGTCCGTGATCAGATCTCTTCGAATAGCTTTAGATCAGTCAGAGTCTAACAGATCAAGGTCATGGTTAAGACCTCATAGGGAGAACAGAGCTCTAGAAAGGGCCTCGCTTGTTGCTTTAAGATGGGATACTGTCATTCATCGAGAGGGCAGCTCAGTTTTTAACAAAATCCTCCCCCCTCAAAGGGGTTCAAGACTGATAGACATTTGGGAGGTAAAAACATTCTGTTGGGATGTTTCCAATCCCTATAAAGGAAGCCTCAGTACAGGGGGAGCACCAGGAGAGTCTTGGTGATCTTAGAAGCTTTACACAACCTCAAACTAGGGACAACACTGGTAAAGGCTATGGGTTGACGGCATCAATAAATGCAGAAACTGTGTTTCAGTGTAGAGCAAGGGTGTGAAACTCAATTTCTCTGAGCAGGATCTGGCGGATAAGTTCTGTCCTCCTCTCTGCTGCCAACTGCAGAGACAAGGTGGGGGCGGAGATGATAGGGGTGCCAAAGCTGCAGGAGAGGTGCGAGGGCCACATAAAATGGCCTGGCGGGCCTCATTCGTTTGACATATGTGGTATAGAGTGACTGTAGTTCAAGGGTTCTCACTGGCCTGTCCCTCAATGATAAGAGGCTTAGCATCAGACAGTCTGGATGGCTGAAGGTTCACAGATAGAATCCTCCTGTAGGCAGCAGAATAGCTCCCACAGTTTACTACTTCCTGTGTCCCACTATGGGGAAGGAAAAAAAAATCTATGTATTTAGCATTTCATCTACCTTTATTTTTTTCACCAGCTTATTTTCTTCTTCATCATCTGTTTCTGGAAATTCATAAATCTTCATTTTGTGCTCCTGAATTTCTTTCATTATCTGAATGCAAAGAAAACACAAAATTAGTAAAGTATACAATGATTATCAAAGGGGAAACCCGGAACTACAGAAAATGTGTTTTAATGACAAAACAAATAAATGTCATATCTGTGAACCCATGGAACCTAAAGCAGACTATGTAAATCCCACCAAAATAAAAGGTGAATTCCTCATATGGGTGGTTTTCAATAAAAATGCTTTCATAATTTTCCTACTGCTGAGTGAATGGCCACTTTGGGAAGTGTAGGTTCATTTGACCTGAGTAGGGAAAAGCTGCATTTGCTTTAATCACTATCAAGTGAAAATCCTGTGTTTTCACTTGTACATCATTGGCTACACAAAGTAAATACAGCTTTGGGTTATTTACTAAACTAAGTGAAAATCTACTTAACCACCTCCCGCCTACCATATAGTAATATGACAGACGCAAGGTGGTTCTCTCGTTTTGGGAGGATGTCATATGATGTCCTCCCATTCTTACCACGCATTCGCGGCTCCCAGAGCGAGCAGCGCGGGTGATGTGCTGTATCCCTCAGACACAGCGGATCACCGATCCACGGAAAGAGCCGAAGATGTCGGCTCGGTCATGTGATCAGCTGTTTCCAATCACAGATGATCACATGTAAACAGGGAAATGCCAGTTATCTGCATATCTCTCCCCACAAGCCAACACGCTGACAGCTCATGAGGAGAGGAGAGTCGGTAATCGGCATTCCTCGGAGGGGACACGTACACAGATCATCAGGGCACTGATGGTCAGTGTGCCCTGATGATCTGTGTAGTCCCAGCAGCACCACCTGTCAGTGTCCATCAGTGCCAGCTCTCAGTGCTCATCCATGCCACCTGCCAGTGCCCATCAGTGCCACATTTCAGTGCCCATCAGTGAGCTGCCCTTCAGTGTCACAGTGCCCATCAAGCTGCCCTTCAGTGTCGCCAGTCAGTGCCACCTATCAGTGCTGCCAATCAGTGCCGCCTATCAGTGCCCAGTCAGTGCCGCCTAACAGTGCTGCAGTCAGTGCCGCCTAACAGTGCCTGCCAGTCAGTGCCGCCTACCAGTGCTGCCAGTCAGTGCCGCCTATCAGTGCTGCCAGTCATGCAGTATCAGTGCTGCCAGTCAGTGCCGCCTATCCAGTGCTGCCAGTCAGTGCCATAAACAGTGTGCCGCCTAAACAGTGCCAGTCAGTGCCGCCTACTAGTGCCAGTGCCGCCTCAACAGTGCCACCTACCATGCCTAGCTCATCACCCATCGGCCACCAACCAGTGATCAGTGCAGCCTATCAGTGCCCATCACTGCACCTCATAGCGCACATCAGTGAAGGATAAAAATCACTTTTATAACAAAAAACAAAAAACTTTTTTTTTTTTTTTTTTCAAAATTTTCAGTGGTTTTTGGTTTAAGAAAAATAAAAAACCCCCGAGGTGATTAAATACCACCAAAATAAAGCTCGGTCACACAAAAAAAAAAAGGATACAAATTTCATAGGAGTACAGTGTTGCATGACCACGCAATTGTCATTCAAAGTGCAACAGCGCTGAAAGCTGGAAATTGGCCTGGACAGGAAGGGGGTAGAAGTGCCCGGTAGGCGGGAAGGGGGTAGAAGTGCCCTGTAGGCGGGAAGGGGGTAGAAGTGCCCTGTAGGGGAGGAAGGGGGTAGAAGTGCCCTGTAGGCGGGAAAGGGGGTAGAAGTGCCCTGTAGGCGGGAAGGGGGTAGAAGTGTCCCGGTAGGCGGGAAGGGGGTAGAAGTGCCCGGTAGGCGGAAGGGGCAGAAGTGCCCGGTAGGGCGGAAGGGGGCAGAAGTGCCCGGTAGGCGGGAAGGGGGCAGAAGTGCCCGGTAGGCGGGAAGGGGGGCAGAAGTGCCCGGTAGGCGGGAAGGGGGCAGAAGTGCCCGGTAGGCGGGAAGGGGGCAGAAGTGCCCCGTAGGCGGGAAGGGGGCAGAAGTGCCCTGTAGGCGGGAAGGGGGTAGAAGTGCCCGGTAGGCGGGAAGGGGGTAGAAGTGCCCTGTAGGCGGGAAGGGGGCAAGGGTAGGCGGTAGAAGTGCCCTGTAGGCGGGAAGGGGGTAGAAGTGCCCGGTAGGCGGTAGGGCGGGAAGTGCCCGGTAGGCGGGAAGGGGGGTAGAAGTGCCCGGTAGGCGGGAAGGGGGTAGAAGTGCCCGGTAGGCGGGAAGGGGGTAGAAGTGCCCTGTAGGCGGGAAGGGGGTAGAAGTGCCCTGTAGGCGGGAAGGGGGTAGAAGTGCCCTGTAGGCGGGAGGGGGTAGAAGTGTCCTGTAGGCAGGAAGGGGGTAGAAGTGTCCGTAGGCAGGAAGGGGGTAGAAGTGCCCTGTGGGCAGGAAGGGGGTAGGAAGTAGAAGTGCCCTGTGGGCAGGAAGGGGGTAGAAGTGCCCTGTAGGCAGGAAGGGGGTAGAAGTGCCCTGTAGGCAGGAAGGGGGTAGAAGTGCCCTGTAGGCAGGAAGGGGGTAGAAGTGCCCTGTAGGCAGGAAGGGGGTAGAAGTGCCCTGTAGGCAGGAAGGGGGTAGAAGTGCCCGGTAGGCAGGAGGGGGGTAGAAGTGCCCGTAGGCAGGAAGGGGGTAGAAGTGCCCTGGGCAGGAAGGGGGTAGGCAGCAGGGGGGGTAGAAGTGCCCTGTAGGCTAGTGGTTAAAATCGCCAGCATTGTGTAAGGTCAGGCACTCAGCAGACAAGCAAACATCAGACTTCACATGACCTCTGTCTTTCCAAAGGCAGCATTCATTTTTATTTGATTGGTTTGTTGTTGCTTTTCTATGGTCTATAGGTCAGACAAGGCCAGCAACATCTCCAGCATTCTCTTGCAAAGCTATACTGCGAAAGGGACAACCAGCATCAGTACTGATATCTGAAATCCATAGTTCAAAATGTTGTAAAAAAAACAAAACAAAGCTAGGTTTATAGAAGCATTTTCATAAAAGTGATGTTACCATGAACTGTAGTCCTCTCATTAAACTATTCCCCCCCACAAGTGTTATAATTCATTGTAATAAAAGGTTACGCTGCCTACAAAGGTGTGACACTAAATAACTAAACAGGAGAACATTTCTAATGTTATTTCATGAAGTTATTATGCAACATTATTTAAGTTAGAAAAAGAATAAAGAATGTAATATCTGTTTAAATATATACAAATGTGTAGGTTTAGAAGGCTTTCTGTAGACTAGGTTTTGTTCAGGAATGTAACAATATAAATAATTATACTGTGAATGCCAAGTCCTGCGTGCTTGCGGTTTAAAAAAAAAAAAAAGAACATTATAACACCTTCCCCACCAGACACAAATTTTCACATCTTTAAATTGTATTGTGTGGGAATATATATGACGCTCTTTAGCAGAATATGTAATATGTAAAGAACCTTAAAAAAAATTAAGTAATATGAAATAATGAATTTGTAGTAGTTTGTGCTCTTTCCAGCTGTGCTGAAAAGGAGCGGTTTGGTGCACTGAAATCAGCAACAGCAGCAGTGCCTCATCCCTTATTACACAGCTCAGTACAAAATGTTATTTACATTGAGCCACAAAGCAATTCAAGTTTAATGTTCAGTCTCTCCTCCTAACCTGTAGTGCTCTGAGGATCCTTTTTCAGATAATGTTTATTTGTAACCCAAAATGCTGCACAGATAGTAGACACAAACAATTTACAAACATATATTAACAAAAAACATTCTAGTCTTTTTAAATAAAATATCTCACTCTGACAAAACATACCTGTTTTTTAAACTGTTGGCATTCCTCTGGTGTGAGGGTGTCAGCTTTTGCAATGAGTGGAATGATATTGACTTTTTCATGCAAACGTTTCATGAACTCTATGTCCAATGGTTTCAGTCTAAAAAGAAAAGAAAATGTTTGTCAAATAAAAGTCTCCTGGATCCACTATTTAAAAAAAAAAAAAAAAGTTCTCATAAACAAGCTATTCCTCATTATTATGCATACTCGGGAGGGGGGGGGGGGGGGCAAGACCTGATGCTAAGTCACAATGTGAAGATTCCACAGTGCTAATTCATTACTGCATATTTGTATGGAAGATATTTAAATGACCCCGAACAAAAATAACTCGCATAGGAAAAATGGGAGCTACACCCCAACATAAATAATGCAATCAATACTCATCTATCAGATCAATATTCATCTCAACCATTTACCCCAAGGCTTACATATCAATGTCTGAGGCCATCTGCAAAGCCTTCCATAGACTCATTCCTCACCGACAGCCTTCCATAGACCATACTGACTCATAGCCTCCATAGACTCATTCCTCACAGACAGCCTTCCATAGACTCATTCCTCACCGACATAGCCTTCCATAGACCGACATTTCCTCACCCTTCCATAGACTCATTCCATAGCCTTCCATAGACTCATTCCTCACCGACATAGCCTTCCATAGACTCATTCCTCACCGACAGCCTTCCATAGACTCATTCCTCACCGACATAGCCTTCCATAGACTCATTCCTCACCGACATAGCCTTCCATAGACTCATTCCTCACCGACATAGACCTTCCATATACTCATTCCCTCACCGACATAGCCTTCCATAGACTCATTCCTCACCGACATAGCCCCATTCCAGAGACTCATTCCTCACCGACATAGCCTTCCATAGACTCATTCCTCACCGACATAGCCTTCCATAGACTCATTCCTCACCGACATAGACTCATTCCTCCCGATAGCCTTCCATAGACTCATTCCTCACCGACATAGCCTTCCATAGACTCATTCCTCACCCTTCCATAGACTCATTCCTCACCGACATAGCCTTCCATAGACTCATTCCTCACCGACATAGCCTTCCAGACTCTTCCACCGACATAGCCTTCACCGACATAGCCTTCCATAGACTCATTCCTCACCGACATAGCCTTCCATAGACTCATTCCTCACCGACATAGCCTTCCATAGACTCATTCCTCACCGACATAGCCTTCCACAGACTCATTCCTCACCTCATTCCTCACATAGCCTTCCTCATACCGACATAGCATTCCTCACCGACATAGCCTTCCATAGACTCATTCCTCACCGACATAGCTTCCATAGACTCATTCCTCACCGACATAGCCTTCCATAGACTCATTCCTCACCGACATAGCCTTCCATAGACTCCATTCCTCACTGACATAGCCTTCCATAGACTCATTCCTCACCGACATAGCCTTCCATAGACTCATTCCTCACCGACATAGCCTTCCATAGACTCATTCCTCACCGACATAGCCTTCCATAGACTCATTCCTCACCGACATAGCCTTCCATAGACTCATTCCTCACCGACATAGCCTTCCATAGACTCATTCCTCACCGACATATTCCATCACATTCCTCACCGACATAGCCTTCCATAGACTCATTCCTCACTGACATAGCCTTCCATAGACTCATTCCTCACTGACATTCACAGGCCTTCCATAGACTCATTCCTCACTGACATGGCTCATTCCATAGACTCATTCCTCACTGACATTCACAGGCCTTCATGCAAAAGGTCTTGGTTACAGTTATTACAGAATCCTGTTGTATGTAAGGGCACATTCAGCAGCCTCTAAGATCCCAATTTAATGGTCACAATCAAGTCTCCACTCAGAAACCAAACTAAATCTAATTAATCCACCATGACATAGTGGATTCCTAGATTTTACTTTTATTGTAATCTGGCTAATATAAAAAAAAATCTTCACAATGAAGGGAAATTCTGTTAAGCATTCAGAAATGAAAAAAAAATAAATAAAAGTTCTTTCAGAACAGAAAGGTTTTTTTTTTTAAAGAAACACAAGAAAGTACCCCTCAAAACCAGCCATGAAAACAATATTCTGCTTTTGTGGCAGACTTTTCTGTCTTGCCGTCTCCTGCGGTGAAGCGTAAATGATACATCTGTAAGTGCGGACATTCCTGAACTGTGCAGTAACAGAGTTAAAGAACAACTCTAGCCTAAACAAATACTGTTGCTTCTAATGCCAGAACAGTTTGAGGAGAGGGTGCTGAGCTACTAAATTGGACACCCACAAAAATGTGAATTCTATGCCCACATTGTGTAGATAATTGGTTAAGAGGCGTGCTGTAGCTGTGTCTTCCAAAATCGCCAACAACTATGATAGAAGGGGCTTCCTAATTGTTTCTGAACTGCACATTTGTCAGACTCTTCGAGGCTTGGGAAAACTAGAAGCATGGAAAATGGAAAGTGCGCTAACAAGAACGTCTTCTTGCCTATAGCAACAAAACAGAATCCTTCCTTCATAATGAACATTGCATTGTAGAATTAACTGATGGAACCTGGTTTGACTCCAGTCCTCAAACAACCAAACACTAGCATTACACTCCCAAGGCTGCTTAGCATCTAAACTCACTACATGAAGAACACAAAAGTGCAGTTTAAGAAAAACTATCACCTTTTAGTGAAAATCTTATGTCTCACACCGTCGATTAACAACCGCCTTGTCCTCACCTTTCCTCCCAGTCCATCCCCGCTGAAATAACTGCCTCTACTACCCACCCATAATATCGACATACATCATGCCCCCTTTTTTAGGTTTGGAGGGAAAAGTGTCAGTGATGTCCACAACAGAGTGTTTACTAGAAGTCAAAGCATGGCCGCTGTTCACCAATTGCTGACGTTTTCATTCAGTGTTAGGTGCCGCTGATCAAATAGGACATTGTACTTTCAGTTAAAAACACAAGTTCAAGGATATATAGACTCCCCCCCCCCCCCCCCCCAAAAAAAATGTATTGAAGCTTTCCTGTCCTCAGATTTGGTGGCTGCATTTGTTTTCTTTGTTAGGCAAAATACAGATCTGTAAGTACAGAAAACTAGCTGCTTATCCTGCCAGAAATCCCATGTACTTATAACATCTTATGAACTGAAATCTCAAACAATGTTATCAGCCTTCCCTTCTATTTCTAATAACTGAGCAACACCCACTTATTAATGGGGATCAGCCTAGGAGGACATTGCTGCTCCTTTTTGGGTACAGTGCAGCGCATATCATTACCCTAGGAAGGAAACATGTTACTGGCAGGATTATCAGGTAAAAGTAAAGGAAATATAAAGCCTGCAAAATGAAAATGAATGCATTCATTATAGATGTAAGGACTTCTAGGCAGCAATATAGAACATTTTTGTTTTTGAACAAGATACAATTTTATGTCCTTTAAGTTACTTTTACGCATTTTTTCTTTGTGATGCTCACATTTAAACAGGATTGTTCCATTTTTTTTCCTAAGGCAGCCTTCTTCAAAAAGGAACAGATTTGATATCTGTACTCGTGCTTCTACAACAGTGCAAATGATGTAGATTTCCCTTTCAAACAGATGGATAAAAGGAGAGGATCACCTTTGGAACACATTACACCCATATTTAGGGGGGGGGGGGACATGTTTTATTAGCTGCCCTCTTGTCGTCCCCCCTCCCCCTCCCCGTTAGGCATCTTCTCCCCAGTAGCCACTGTCACATTCTAAATTGGTGGGGCTTCACCTACAAATCTAAATCATTCATTCACAGAATCAGTGAATGATGTCCAGTCTGCAACCATCTGTCAGCTAGCTTAACCTCCCTAGTGGTCTGATTATGTCCATATTTCTGTGCTCAAAGCGGTACATTTTTTTTTGCATGGAAATATGTATTTTTTTTTATTGTCGGCCTGTAATTTTTAGGAATAACTCACTGAAATCTGTCCGAACAAGAGTCTAGTAAACATCCCGGGTAGGATAAAACTTGAAACACGAAATCATAAATTATAATTTAATAAATCATAAAAAATATTATAATACATTTAATTCAATAATATAATCAAACCAAAAAACACTGAAATGTGAAAATATAGCGCCAAGTTCACACATCACTGAGCAAAGTCGCAGAATCGTTTTCAGTGTCTGATGAGGAATTTCCCCCACGAATCATTATCACTCAATTCTGCAAGTGGTTCTGATTTACTATCGCTGTTCTCTAGCCGGTCTAAAACCGCTTTTGAACTAAAGGGACGCTTTTTGGACGCCATGGACGTTTCTCAGTTTCCAGGCAAAAAGAACAGTAAAATGCAGGCAGGGCGCCGGACAAAGCACTCGGGACAAAATGTATGTGAAATGGTTTGATACAGGAATGTTATACGATGTGATTTTAGTGAATTTAGAGAATGTCACTTTTTGTCATTTTCAAATTTCCCGCCATTCCGTCCCCCGTACGTTCCGACGCTCGCAGGGAACGGAACCCAGATGCCGGCATCCGCCAGATTACATTGCCAGGGACACTGCAGGGGGGACATCACGGGAGCGCAGGACAAGGTAAGTGATTGAGGGATCGTGGAGCAGCGCTGCAGGATATTCCCGAGTGTAGCTTGGGGGGGGGGTTGGGTTACTGCTTGTGGTACTGAAACTTTACCCTGAGCTACACTCGGGAATACTGCCAGGGAGGTTAACAGGCGCTGATGAGCACCCTTGTAGTCCCCACTGACTCTTTCTCCAGTTTTAAAACAGAAAGTCCATACAGGTTACAGGTAAGAAAGCTGGAGGGAATGTCTGCAAGAGCCTGACATTGCACCCACGATCCACTGATCATATGTGCAAAGCTTTGCAGGCTCCTTTTTTTTTTTTTAAACATCACCACAAACTGAAGGATTTACATTAGTATGCCCACATTCACAATAGTAATTTTTAAACAGAAAAAAATTTAAAGTTAGAGCACCTCATTTTAAGCAAATGGAAAGCAGAGAATGTAAAGAAAACTTTACTGAAAAATACATTGTGAGAGCATTGAACACTGGATCAGTATCGCAGGCAAACAGATTACGCTTCAAGAAGGAGAAGTCGGCAATGATAGCCTACATATTGTATTCCCTACAGGTTGCTTTACACTGAAAAAGAGAATTCTAATCCAATAAACAATGTACAATGCCTGCACTCTGGGTCTATAAATACAACAAATTCATAAAAATGCTAACATTATTATATTATAGTAACTGAAAAAAAAAAAAAAAAAAATCATATTAGAGAGAAATGTGATTATCTAAGACTCCACAAAATCGGCTAGGGGAAACATATACCAGAGTTCTTGTACTGCAGAAGAGCCATAGCTTAATAGAATTGAAGAAAGCAGCAATGACAAAATTGTATTTAGATCTGCAGTCCATTAACCTACTAATATTTTAATAAAACTATCGGCCTCTGTTTTATCAGTAAACCTGCAGTGTGGCAATAAATAATACTCCTCGAAGGGATTGTGTAGACAGGCATTCTTATCAAACACAAGCAGTCTTGCAACTCTGCTAAAATGCATTGTAAGAATACTCTGCATTTGGCCTGCAGTTCAAACACTTCAATATTAAATGCAGGTTCACGCACAAAATCACATCCTGTGGAAATCATGCAGCCTTCAGGTAGAGTCCCTGCATCTTCACCACACCCCGCTGACATGTTTCACCCTGCCCAATCAAAAACAAACATGTCGGAGAATCCCGGGGAAAGAAAGAATGGAAAATATATATAGTAATGGAGGAGGTTAACTTTATGACTTACAATATTAAAGGGCTAAATAGTTTGAAGAAAAGATTTAAGATACTTAGAGAAATACAAAGGATTTATTGAGGTAGTGTTTATACAGGAAACTCATCTAATACAAGAAACAAATGTGAAATTATACTCTAAGCACTACCCATTATTGTATTATGCAGACTCCCCAATTAAACGTGCTAAAGGGGGGGTGGCAATTGGCTTTGGGAAAAATGTAAGGTTTTGTTTGGAAGATAAAATGGAGGATTCGGAGAGGAGATTTTTATTCCTAAAAGGGAAATTGCAAGAGGTAGAATGTACATTGGCAAATATATATTGCCCCAATAAAAAAAAATCAGAGGTCTATCTAAAGAACATACTGAAGAAGCTATTAGATTTTAAAAAAGGTAAACTAATTGTGGCAGAATATTTCAATTGTTGCATGGAACCACAGCTTGACCTGACGGCTCATGGGTCGAGAGAGGGTAACAAACATTTGAAAGAATTAAGGAAAACAATACAATATTGCCAGTTGGTGGATAGTTGGAGAATTAAAAATCTAAGTGATAGAGATCATACATTCCATTCTCACGCACATGAGACGTACTCAAGATTGGATTATATATTGCTAGATCATAGTCTTATAGAGTCTTTGGTGAAAGCAAAGATAGAAGCTATAACATTATCCAATCATGCACCTGTCACAATAAGGTTAAAATGGGGAAAAGAACAAAAAAAAAGGTAAATACGTGGAGATTAAATGATACACTTCTTCAGGATCAGGAGACGGAACAGATAATTAAAAGAGAAATAGAACTATATTTCAAAAGAAATGAGACTGAGGAGGTGTCGATTGTGACTGTATGGGAAGCCCACAAGGCATATATTAGAGGAATCTTAATAGCAATTGGGGTGAAGAAGAAAAAGGAAAGGAAAGAGAAAATTAATACACTTCATAGAGAATTACTTGAATTAGAACAGGTACATAAAAAGAATATAACAAAAACAGAATAAGCAGAAGGTATTGGAAAAACAAGAAGAACTAAATAAATTAATGGAGGAAGAAAAAAAAAAAGGAGTGTTTTTTAATGAGATGAGTAGTGAAAGATATCGGTGGGGGGATAGACTAGGAAAATTCATAACGAGAGCTCAAAGAAAAAAGAAAGGTAGGAACTATATAGAGAAAATAAGAGATAATAAAGAACTAAAATATTTTACCAAAAATATTGCAAAAGTGTTCAAAGATTATTATAGTAAATTATATAATATCAATCCCCAACAATCCGTAAGAGATAAGGAAGAAAGAAGTAAAAAAAACAGACATACCTAAAAGAGGCGGGGTTACCGATATTGAGAGAAGAGCAGTTAATATCCCTAGAGAGATCAATAACAGAGAATAAAAAATTTATAGTGCATTGAAGAGTACTATGGCAGGGAAAAGTCCAGGACCAGATGGGTATACAGTGAGATACTATAAGAAATTTAAAGATCAATTGATACCTAAATTAACTACATATAATGCATTGGGAGGGGAGATGTAAATGAGGGAGGAATCCCTCCAGGCTCACATCACAATAATACCAACAGAAGGGAAAGATAGTACACAGTGTTCTAGTTATAGGCAGATATCCCTACTAAACAGATACCAAACTGTACGCAAAAGTGCTGGCAAGTAGGTTGAAGGAGTTAATGCCGGAGTGGATCCATATGGATCAAGTGGGGTTTGTCCCTGGGAGAGAAAGTAGGGATAATGGATTAAGATCAATAATGCTCATACAAAAAAGTAAGAAAAAATCCCTGTATTGTTACGGTCGGTAGACGCTGAAAAAGTTTTTGACAGTAGATTGGGGTATACAGGTGAAACTCGAAAAATTAGAATATCGTGCAAAAGTTGATTTATTTCAGTGCAGCAACTTAAAAGGTGAAACTAATATATGAGATAGACTCATTACATGCAAAAGCAAGATAGTTCAAGCTGTGATTTGTCATCATTGTGATGATTATGGCTTACAGCTCATGAAAACCCCAAATCCACAATCTCAGAAAAAGAGAATATTACATGCAATCAATAAAAACACGGATTGAACATAGAATATCGGACCTCTGAAAAGTAGAAGCATGCATATGTACTCCGTACTTGGTTTGGGGCCCCTTTTGCAGCAATTACTGCCTCAATGCAGTGTGGCATGGAAGCTATCAGCCTGTGGCACTGCTGAGGTGTTATGGAAGACCAGGATGCTTCAATAGCGGCCTTCAGCTCTTCTGCATTGTTCCGTCTCATGTCTCTCATCTTTCTCTTGGCAATGCCCCATAGATTCTCTATGGGGTTCAGGTCAGGCGAGTTTGCTGGCCAATCAAGCACAGTAATCCCACTGTCATTGAACCAGGTTTTGGTGCTTTTGGCAGTGTGGGCAGGTGCCAAGTCCTGCTGGAAAATGAAGTCAGCATCCCCATAAAGCTCGTCTGTGGAAGGAAGCATGAAGTGCTCCAAAATCTCCTGGTAGATGGCTGCGGTGACCCTGGACTTAATGAAGCACAGTGGACCAACACCAGCAGATGACATGGCTCCCCAAATCAACACAGACTGTGGAAACTTCACACTGGACTTCAAGCATCTTGCAGTGTGTGCCTCTCCATTCTTCCTCCATACTCTGGGTCCTTGTGCCTCTCCATTCTTCCTCCATACTCTGGGTCCTTGTGCCTCTCCATTCTTCCTCCATACTCCGGGTCCTTGTGCCTCTCCATTCTTCCTCCATACTCGGGGTCCTCGGGTCTCTCCATTCTTCCTCCATACTCGGGGTCCTTGTGCCTCTCCATTCTTCCTCCATACTCGGGGTCCTTGGGCCTCTCCATTCTTCCTCCATACTCTGGGTCCTTGGGCCTCTCCATTCTTCCTCCATACTCTGGGTCCTTGGGCCTCTCCATTCTTCCTCCATACTCGGGGTCCTTGGGCCTCTCCATTCTTCCTCCATACTCGGGGTCCTCCTTGTGCCTCTCCATTCTTCCTCCATACTCTGGGTCCTTGGTTTCCAAATGAGATGCAAAAGTTGCTCTCATCAGAAAAGAGGACTTTGGACCACTGAGCAGCAGACCAGGTCTGTTTTTCTTTAGCCCAGGTAAGACTCTTCTGACGTTGTTTGTTGTTCAGGAGCGGCTTGACAAGAGGAATACGACATTTGAAGCCCATGTCCAGGATCCGTCTGTGTGTGGTGGCTCTTGATGCACTGACTCCAGCCTCAGTCCACTCCTTGTGAAAGTCCAACACTTTTGAATGGCCTTTTCCTGACAATCCTCTCCAGGCTGCGGTCATCCCTGCTGCTTGTGCACCTTTTTCTTCCACACTTTTCCCTTCCACATAACTTTCTATTAAAGTGCTTTGATACAGCACTTTGGGAACATCCAACTTCTTTTGCAATTACCTTTTGAGGCTTTCCCTCCTTATGGAGGGTGCCAATGATGGGTGTCAGGTCAGCGGTCTTTCCCATGATTGTGATTCCTACTGAACCAGACAGAGACCATTTAAAGGCTCTGGAACCCTTTGCAGGTGTTATGGCTGAATTAGCTGATTAGAGTGGGACACTTTGAGCCGAGAATATTGCACCTTTTCACAATATTCTCATTTTCTGAGATTGTGGATTTGGGGTTTTCATGAGCTGTAAGCCATAATCATCACAATGATGACAAATCACGGCTTGAACTATCTTGCTTTGCATGTAATGAGTCTCATATATTAGTGTCACCTTTTAAGTTGCATTACTAAAATAAACTTTTGCACGATATTCTCATTTTTCGAGTTTCACCAGTATGTTGGATACACTGAAAGTCCTGGGGATGGGCCCTAGAATGAGAATATGGATAGGGAAATTGTACAGTCAACCATCAGCTGCAATAAAGGTTAACAGGGAAATAGAGTTTTAAGATGTATAATGGGACACGTCAGGGATGTCCTTGTCACCGCTGCTGTTTGTCCTGTCCTTAGAATCCCTTTTAGAGAAAATAAGAAAAATACAGATATCAAGGGAATTAGGATAGGAGAGACAGAGCTCTTCTGTGTAGGTAACCCAAGGATAACATTACCCAATTTAATGAAAACACTGAAGGAATATGGGGAGTTGTCTAACTTAAAAATTAACCCAACTAAAACAGAAATCTTGAATATAAATCTTCCAAGAGGAGAGAAAAAGGCTTTGCAAAGGGAAATTTTCTCTCTTGGAAGGAAAAAACTAAAATAAATAAAAAAAAAAAAAGGAAAAAACTAAAAAGAATAAATATAGCTGTCTCCTTGAAGAATCTATACAAAGTAAATTATATTCCATTATTAAACGGAATTAAAGATGAAATGAGAAAATTTGGGATAGGTGGTATATCGTGGCTAGGACGAATAAATGTAATTGAAATGGTAATCGTCCCAAAAATTTTATATAAAAACTCCAGATGATCCCAATAAAGCTGCCAGGACTGTATTTTAGGATAATGAAAAAAATTATGCTAAAGTTTATATGGAGACATAAAAGACCTAGAATAAGTTATGAAGTTCTAACCAGCGACAAAGAAAACGGGGGTTTAGTGTACCTGATTTCAGAAGACATTATAACGCAGTATTGATAGCACAAATTTTTGATTGCACATATAACTCACAGAGGAAAAGTTGGATAAATATAGAAAACACTAAGTAAAACACATTTGGATAGGATAAATGATTGCCGCCTCACTCTCGTGGAGTGATAGAGAACAAGTGTATTTACAAGAATTGTTTTGATAATTTGGGACACAATGCACAAACAGATGGGAATTTAATGCCTATGGTAAACACAGTTTTGTTTCCCACCGGGGAATGAAAAAGATTGCAGGGAGATGGATAAGGAAGGAAGATGCTCAATTAAGAGACCTAATGAAGAGGAAATTTGCCCCTTAGTGGAATTGAAAAAGAAGAGGGAGTTGTTCATGAAAAGTAGATGAGTGGCGGTATCTACAAATAAAACATTTTATAGAAAAACTTCCTAGGCCCCTGAGGAAGAAAGAACAATGGAACCCATTTGAAAATTTGTTTAGTACATGGGGAGATGGGAAACATGGAACTTAGAAAATATATAAAATTCTTACTAAGTTAACAACAAATACGGTACTGGCATATATGGAGAGACGGGAGAGGGAATTAGGAATAATAATGTGGGGATAAACAAAAAAGATTTACAAGTTAGCACACGGTAATGTGAGCATGAAAGATGTAGAGATGAACTATAAATGTTTGGCGAGGTGGTATATAACACTAAATATAGTACAAACAAAATAGAGATAAATCACCTTTATGTTGGAGGGGTTGTGGGGAACAGGGCACAGTAGGTCACATTTGGTGGGAGTGTCACAAAATTCAAAAATATTGATACAAGAAATAACTGGGATAAAAATATTAAAGGAACCAGGGGTATGTCTCTTTCATGGAACAGAGTTAACGGTTGAAAGGTATAAAAGTTCTGGAAGATAAAAGAATAATGTGGCGCTACTACCATATAAATCCTTCACAAATTAGCACAATGAAAAATGCATAAAATATGAGTGAAATGGTGCAAAGAAGTGAAAAAAAAAAATCAATCAACAATACATAAAACGTGATAAACGACAGTGTTAGATTGCCTCACTCAGTAACACGTGTAACAAGTGCCAACAACAGGTCCAGCAGTAAGGACCAAAATTACAATAGCAGCGCCCCAAATGACCCTAATGGATCTAATAGTGTTCAACAAACAACATAACAAAAGTCCAAAATGAGGACTCAGCATAAATGTGTGCTACAATCCTCCCACTGGAACACATAATTGTTCCAACCACACACACACACAACATAAATTACAAGTGCATTCCAAAAACACAAATTATGTCTAATCATGTAAAAATAAATATAAATAAATGCAAAATAGAATGGATATAGTAAAAAGTCCCGTGAGGTGAAAAATCACCTATCAGCAAAATAAAGTCCACAAACTAAACTCTGAACAAAAAGTGATGACGAAAAAGGTGTGCAAAGTATCCAAAATGGCTGAATTACCCGCTCACCTCCCTCTTGCGACCCACACAGGGTCAAAGAGCCTTTAGGATCACTAATACTTGGATCCTTAATACCCAGGACTCCTCCACAGCTCTCCACACTGGTCTTCCCTCAAGTACAGGCTCACAGGGCAGCAGATCTCCTCTCCAGACAATAAGATGGTAAATAGCCACTCAATCCCTCAGAAAATATAAGTGAATACTTACATAGTGTAAAACCATTTATTCACTGATACAGCACTAGCACAATTCTTATCAGTGATACCCTTCGAGATGAGATCTGAATTTTTTTTTTAAATTCTGTCTCTCAGAGTGGGAATGCACCTACA